CGCTACTTGATTTCAAACGGCAGAGACTTATTTGTACACCAAATAATATTATTTTGTTTTATTCGAAATTTGTGAACGCCAATTGCATGGCATTGTCGCAGCATGATATTACACTATCAGTAATAACTATTTACACACATAGTTTAGTTAGATAAAACGTTCCTATTAGCACGACAACAATTACGAAAATTTTAATGCTACATAAAATTACTATTTCTTAAAAACAAAGTGGTCGTAAATTGAAACCATCGAAGGACTTCCAGTAACTGCGTCGATTGTTCGCCACGTGCAAACTAGAAATCCTAACAATCGATTTTGGGTAATTATAAGATCATAGTTCGTCGCCCTGCAGGACCGTCGTACGGTTGAAGTGGGCCATGTAACAAGAAAATAATGCCAACCGCGGTTATGCAATGCCTATACGAATTTACACGCGCATAATCGAAGTTTTTGGGAACTGTCCTCTGAAACAGGAAAAGAGCCGTTGCGTTGTACGCGTAATTTCCGGCGAGAAATTTACATCAGAATCGATATGAGTAGATGTGTCAGGGGGTTTTAAACCCCTGGAGTGCTCAGAGGGATGTGGGACCCAGGGATCTCGTTTGCTTCCGTACATGCCGGAAAGTGGGGACGACGCGACCATGGTGGGGACCAATAGTTGGTGGGGGTATGCAGTGATTTTCAAGATTTGTAGGCTTATTTTGGCTATACATTTCGTCAAGTTGGCAACGTTGATAGTAGCGCCAAGCCAAGTGTGACGTAGACGAACGCGGCGCTGAATCATTTGAGTTTGGATTCCAGGCGTAAACACTTTCACGTCCAATTTGTTTTCACGTACAAAGTTTAGATAGAAATCGTTTGAACCCAGAAACTATCGCGGCAATAACAAGAACCAAATTATATTTAAAAAGTAACAAAAAAACATGTATGGATTATATTGTAACAACGGACATGTTAAAATTATTTAATAATAACATGTATAAGAGGAAAGCAATTCCTGCGGAGATAGGAAATATAATTGTACAAGATGAAACAGATGACACTGACACTACAAACACNGACTGTTTTCAAAGTTTTGACAGATGCACCCAAAGTCCACCTTCTGCTTCTGTGAGAAAAACGAAGTGCAACAGTTTCAAAGGCAGCTTCGTTTTAGCCGACAATTCCAATTTATAGCCTTTGAGCAAGATAGCCAAACAACACTTAATTTGCAGCAGTGCCAATCTCATTCCCACGCACATCCTTGGTCCCTCGCCGAATGGCATGAACGTCATTTTGTCAATCTCGTGCTTCCTCTCCTCGCTGAATCGATCTGGATCAAAGGTCTCCGGATCGGACCAATACCTCGGGTCCTTCTGCAGTCCATAAATGGGTATGATAATTTCGGTGCCAGGTTTCACGCGACATTTAAGCCCGTCCGATCCTTCCAACTCGCACTCTTCTGTACATATTTTTATCATCATACTCAGTGTCGAGTAATATCTTTGCGATTCACAAATTACTTGGTCCATATAAGTCATGTCTTTCACCGCTTCGTACGTTAACACACCTCCGTGTTTTTCCAGGACAGTCTTCACTTCTTCTCGTAGTCTTTCTTGAACATCCTGATGCATAGCCAGTTGAAATCCAATGAAACTGAGAGTAATGCTTGATGTTTGGAATCCGTCGATGTAAAACGTGAATACACCAGCAGTGAGAACGTCCAAAGGCAGTTGCTTTCCTTCCTCTTTCTCCAGCTGCACCATTATTTCGAGAAAGTCGTACCTGGGCGTTGATTCCTTTCGCCTGTGCTCCAAATTTTCCTTAACCAGCGTTGTGAACATTTGTTCCAGTTCCTTCTTCGTGAACTTGATCTTTGTGAAACGATTCACACTGGGAAATAGAGTTACAATGTTAAGTAGAAATCTACTGAAGAAATTCGGTTCGAAGAAATTCTTGCCGATCTGATCGAACGCCAACGGATCATCCACGTCCCCGAAACAGCGCCCGTCGATGCCCATACTAGCGTTTGCCGCAATTTCGCCAGTAAATTTTGAGAACAGATACTTCAGTTCAACTTCGTACTTATCGTTGGAGTTCACCCGCCTGTCTAAGTAATCTTGGAATTTCTTGCACACTCCGTTAACTGCCACGAAAAGAATTTTCAACTTGCCACTGGTAAACGCATAGGTCAATCGTTTCCTTCCATTTAACCATTTTTCCCCATGGGTGAAAAATGGATGATATGCGAACAGGGGATCCACGTCTTTTTGAACCCGGAAACCGTTTATAGGAAAACTCGACAAATTAGTTAGTAACACGGACTTCACCAAGTTCGGTTCGCGGATAACTAATGATGGCACTAATCCTTTGTAAAATCCAACCATGCTGCAATCCTTGTACTCATTGTATATTTCTTCAATTAGTACGCCCGGAGCT